TCAAATATGCACCGTTTTGTTTGATAACTTGTTGCCATTTTGATGGTAATTCCATTATGCCTCTCTCATAGAAACCCTTGTCCCTATTGGCCAAAAACTGGGACAGTCGATTTTCACTAGCTTCTCTTGAGGCGAATTTTTCACCAGCAAAATCATTCGCCATAGACAGGAACAGGTGGTAATCACTTGGTGCCAGGTCCGGACTATAAGGTGGATGCAAGAAAGCTCCCGGAGCTTCTGGGGAGTCACTATCGATGTGTGTGGCCTGGCGTTGTCCTGATGGAACACAATTCCTCTCCTATTGGCCAAAGCTGGCCGCTTCTGGGCGATTGATTCCTTCAGACGGTCCAATTGTTGACAGTACAGGTCCGAATTAAGAGTTTGGCCGAAGGGGAGCAGCTCATAGTGGATGATTCCCTGCCAATCCCACCAAACACACAGCAAAGCCTTCCTGACCGTCAATCCTGGCTTGGCCACCGTTTGCGCCGGCTCACCGCGTTTTGACCACGACCGTTTTCGCTTGACGTTGTCGTAAGTGACCCACTTTTCATCACTAGTCACCATCCGCAGCAGAAATGGGTCGATTCAGCAGCGAGTCGCAGATGGAAATTCGGCCGATGAGATTTTTTGCATTAACTCGTGTGACACCTATACATCGAGCTTCTTTTTGTATCCAGCCTTCTTCAAGTGGTTCCAAACGGTTTTTTGTGCAATGTTTAGCTCCTGGGCAATCGAAACAGTGCTTACGTGACGATCGGATTCGACGATTTCCATTATTTTATCGACATTTTCGACAATTGGCCTTCCAGAGCGTGGTGCATTTTTGACATCAAAATTACCGGGACGGAATCGACGAAACCAAAATTGCGCGTGATTGGCTGTTACAGTATCAGGACCATAAACACTATTCACATTTTTAGCCGCCTGGCTTGCGTTTTCGCCTTTATCGAAGAAAAACTGTAAAATATGGCGTATTTTCTCTTTGCTGGTGTCCATCTTTGACGTGCACTCAAACAATACTGAGTCAAACAACCACTGTCTGAGAAGTTTTTTTAGTACGAAATCTTATCTTTCTAACGCCATCTAGCCGATCGCACTTATACAATGCGAGATACACATTACTAAAGCCATCTATTGGAAAAATAATGGATTTCTTTTTACTACACCTTATATATAACAGTTTTTCGTTCCATGCAGGATAGTCTTAGTCGGTGCGGTCCAAGGTTTAGCTCAATAAATTAGAAGCAATTGTGTAAGTAACAATAAGTATGTAACTATATTCTAATATAATGGCTATTTTCAATTATATACACATGAAGTTACGCCGCTGGCGCGTGGTCGCGTTTTTGCTCTCGTCGGAGATCTAATGTTGACGTCGCGACACCAGCTGTCCGTGTCCAGGCTTGCGCACGGGTCGCGAGATGCGGTCGGCGTTGTCTCGCGATATTCTATTGCCCGTGTTAGGAGTTCGTATACTCAGTGGGCTTTAAATTATTGTTGACAACGGCTTTTAACCGAACCGGTATCGAGACAGTTGTTGTCGCGGTAAGTCTCGCGACTTGTATACGCTAGATATATTATGCGATATCGGAGCGGTGCTAGGTAGAGGATGCCACGTCGGGTATCCACCTCGGTCGACGGAACGGTTCAGAAAAAGGATGTCGACGTCGCGTATCCATTTCGGTCGACGGAACGGTCTAGGATCTCTAGGAAGTTGCGAGTTCCGGTCGGTTGAGCGCTTCAGAAGAGCTCTCCGGCGGATTTCTTTCGATACCGATTTCGCGCCGGCTTTTACACTAATGTTCGCAAACAGTAAAGCTGTTTTCTGACCTCGCGGATGTTCGGCGTTTGTCCAACGGTTGTTCGGTGTAAACAATAGCTAATAATCGTCATGACGATCCGTTATTTGTGTGGATCGTCACATATATATATATATATATATATATATATATATATATATATATATATAT